AATCAGCGGGCCTCAGTGAGCCTGTACCCTGTGGCCGAGTGCCGAGCGCGGCTCGGGCCCGCTGCCCCCCGCGCCCCGGGAGCGGGCAGAGCCCCCGCAGCGCCCACCCCCACGGCCGGGCGGCTCTGTCGCCTTCAGAGAGCCTCGGGAGCGATTATTCTTGAGGAAAACAGTACTTCCTGTTTTTAAAGTTTTAAAGTAAGGCTTGACAGGGTGGGTAAATAGAGGTGCCTCCTGCCTCTGTGAGCTTGTGGCACTATAAATGCGTTTGAGAGTGCACTTAAGTTAGTCCATGTACTTGGGACTGTGACTTCTAGGGCGATTCTTGCATTGCTTTAGTCTGTAATTGTTTTGTCCTAACTTGAGTCACTTCTTGATTATTTTCAATTGATAAAGCCACAAATGTATTGTGAGATAGGGAGCATGTAGGTTTTAAATGGAGTTATATTAGAACATAAATGCTATCTTAAAATAATTTCTGATGTTATCTGGAGTACTATTTTTTTTTAACTATTTCACTAAAAATGTGTTTGTCATTAAACTGACTATAATTGACTTTCCAGCCGAAAATAGATTTGTTGGTGAGCTGTGGAGAGGGCAGAGTTCTTCACCACTGAAATTCACATGAGTGGCACTTCTAAAACAAAGCTTGGGAGGAAAAGCTCAGTGTTTGAAATCCTGAGAAACTTTCATTAATTAACCAGGAAGAGTACTTTGATTTTGGGTTGCCTGTTTAGCAAAATTGTTGACTGAGTCTATGACTGAAGACTATGAATCATGCCTAGATCTTGTCTGCGTGACCATGATTAGTTCCAGTGCAGGCTGTTGTGCTCCTGGCACTTTACAGGAGTCAGAGAGCTCTTTTGCTTTTTATAATGTGGAGACTCTTCTGCCTTTCCTGAAGGTCTGGGAGAATCATCTTCTTGCTGACCATCTTTCCTATAGCCAGTACTCTTCTGCCTCTGCTGATGTTCCTGAGATGTTTGTATGTGAGAAGTATGATTTTCTTCATTGCTTGCATTTTGCAGGTATAAAAGCTGTTTGGAACAAAGTACAGCACTAAAAACACAATTAGAATTTACACCTAAAACAGGGTGCAGTGGGAGGCATTTACCTATTACTTAAAACAGGAGTGGAAAATTGTTTGAAAGCATTACATGTGGAGATGGCCAGGGAATAAAACTGGAAAACCAAATCTGTAGCCACTCCAAAAAGAGAACTTGAGTACTGCTTGAAACCTTCTAATTTTTGGGCTGCTACATTCTTTGAAAAAAGCATAAGTTCTTGACTGTTTTGATGATGTTAGGCTAGTATTTCAAGGCTTAATATTTTGTGGGGTGGGAATGTTATCTTAACCTAACTTCTCCCTAAAACTTACTTTGAAATAAGTACTCTTCAGAACCGCAGTTCTTGTTTTTGGTGGAAGAACTTGGACCATTTTATTTTTAAAAGGAAATAAAACACTTTCTCATTGCACTGAGTACATGCTTTGGCAATTCAAGATGTTGATGGTTTAAATTCTAGTATTACAAGGCTCTGAAGATTCTGTTTCTGATGGGCTTGGTATATTGGGTAGCTTACAGAAATTAGTTCCTTCTGATTTATGTTTGTTCCTTACAATCCAAACCTTAGTTCTGGGTGTAAGATCCTTTTTGCTTTAATTTGATTGGTTTTCCATTTCAGCACTTCCTTTATTTAGGTTGGCTTCATTTTGTAATAATCAGAGAAGCTATCATGCCTGAAATAAAAGTTAATAGTTCTGTTTGTGCTGTGTTCATCTGTGAGCCAGCCTGGGTTTGGATTTTCCATTTCAGTTATAGGCCAGTCTGATTCCTCTTGTTTCAGTATTAGAGACTGTTGATTTTGTAGTTCTGTTATGTGACTATGTGGATTAAGGCATTACATAGTTCGTGAACATTTTAAAAATCCACTTTGTTTCATAGTTGGTAGATGTCCTGGTCCAGTGTTGGTTGGTGGTAGTTTTTACAGTCAGTTTTATGTAAGAGGCTGTTGTTAAACAGAAATATTTCAAGTAGAAGCTGTAAATCACTTTCAGCTGCAGTGTGGCAGGATTCCTTGAGAAGCAAACCTTTTGCCTACTTCAGGTTGTGGTTGCAGTTGTAAAGCCCTAGGACTGTCAGCCTGCAATCTCCCCTCCTAGGCAGTAAGATGCAATTTCTCAGCCTGGAGTGCTGATCTCAAGGAGGATCAAAATGGTTTGTGACAAGTTTTGTTAATTTAAAAAAAAAAAACCTCTCAAAACCATACTTAGTTGCTAAGCAACTCGCAGCAGTACCCAGCTGATTGTGTTTTAGAGGATCCATAAGGCTCACAGGCTGCCACACTAATGTGAGATAAAGCACCCTTTTATCAAAACACTGCCTCTGGGACATGGAGTTCTTGCTCCTATCTTTAGAGGGAGTCACAGAAGAAAAGGTACTCAACACAGTTCTCTGTCTCACAGTTCTCCCTCTCTTTGCTTTTTTTAATTTATTTTTTTAAATAGTTCAGGATGGAGAAAATGAGTGGAACGAGGAAGCGTATGTTGTTGAAGAGAGCCTGAGGCAATGAGGAAAACTTGAATAGAAGGACTTTCCCAGGAATAGACTTGGGAAATTTTTAGGAAGGGGAAGTCTGATAAATAAGCATAAGCTAAGGTCTTCATGGAATTATGATAGATATCAGGCCTTTGATATTTTAACATTAGTTACTTAAATTTATTCTGCTTAAAAATGTGTATTTGATGCCTGTTTGAAGAAAATATTTGGATTCTTACAGCAAGATAAAAATGTTATCAGTCTAGTTCAAATTTAGGGTGATTTAGCTGCAAAGTAAACATGAGGTATAACAAAAATTATGTTCTGTACACAGATTTTACGTTGTGTATTTGTGAGAAAGGAAATTGAATTTTTGCTTAGGAACCTTAGTTAATTAAGCAGCCAATTCCCAAGATAATAGTTTCAGAACCTGACCATGAACTGTTTTGTAGTCTGTTACATTTATTGGTTCCTGGGCAGAATTGTGACTAGTCCCTATAGTAAATCACCTGTACTAGTCTGACACCTACAAGAAGTTAAATCTACTAACTTCTGTAGAACTGTGATGTTTTGTATCCCAGGTGTTAGAGTTCATCTCTTACACCCCGTTTTAAGGGAAAAAAAGAGGACCAATGATGGTCAGTGAAAAGTATTTTCAAGGTAGGTCTGGTAAATACATGTAATATTTGCATTTGTTTCTTTGGTTCCCCTGTTCTCCATCACAAAAATCACTACAGATACATGGAGCACTGCAGTGTGTGGAACTCTCTGATCAGAGAAGCCTTCTAATAGATCCTTATTAACTGTAGTTTATCTGTTGCAGGGACAAAGAAGAAAGCTGCGTGCCCAGGACTTGGTCTGTTTTATACCATACTGTCTGCCTTCCTTTTCTCAGTGGCCTCTTTATTTCTTAAAAAAATAGAAGATGTACATTCAGTGGAAGTGAGTGCATTTCGATGTGTTTTCCAAATGGCATTTGTTCTTCCTGGTTTAATATACTACAAGTAAGTGTAAAAAATGTTTACATTTAAAGCTATCTAATAAAACTAGGTCTAGAATTATCTCTCACTTAAATACGATTGCAATGTTATTTTAGTTTGAATTTCAGTTGCATAACTTCATTATTTTAGATTAGTTGATAGTTTCTTGATATAATTCAGAAAACTGAAAATCTTTGACTCCCTGAATGGTAGAGGCTTCTACTAGGATTATTGTATCAAATGCTTTGATTTCCATGAAGGGATGATCTTAAAAAAACAGAAGGTAATTTGTAGATACTCTTGGGTTATTTTGCAAGTTAATCACTAGAAAAACGGGTTCTGGACTTTTGAATGTGATTGGGGGTCATAATGGAAATAAATTGGTCTGTGATCAGACAGTTAGGAATATTTGGGTATTAAACCCCCTTGTCTAGAAAGGTGTGTACCATACTTAAATATGTTTGGATGTTAGTCATGAAATAAGCAAGACAGTGACATTAATGTGACATTTCTGTTTTTCAGAACAGGGTTTTTGGGACCAAAAGGTAAAAGAATTTTTCTTTTCTTCCGAGGATTCCTTGGCTCTACTGCAATGGTTCTTCTCTACTACGCTTACCAAGTAATGCCATTAGCTGATGCCACTGTTATAACTTTTACCAGTCCTGTTTTTACATCGTTGCTGGCATGGATCTTTCTCAAAGAGAAATACAGCCTTTGGGATCTTCTGTTTACTCTCTTTGCAATCACTGGAGTGATTCTTATTGCCAGACCACCATTTCTGTTTGGCTCACGTGTTACGGGGATTGAAGGAAGTTACTCAGAACACCTTAAAGGAACTATAGCAGCAATTGCAAGCACATTATCAGCAGCTTCAACTATTGTTATACTAAGGAAGGTGGGAAAATCCGTGCATTATTTCTTGTCAATTTGGTATTATGCAGTCATCGGATTAATTGGATGTGTTATAGCACTGTTTGTTTTGAATGAATGGCGTTTACCTCACTGTGGTAGAGATAGGGTTTTTCTAATATTAATAGGCTTGTTAGGGTTGGGAGGTCAGATATTTCTCACAAAAGCATTACAGATAGAAAAAGCTGGACCTGTATCAATAATGAGAACAATGGATGTGGTGTTTGCTTTTATTTTACAAGTTCTTTTTCTCAATCATCTACCAACTTGGTGGACTGTGGGTGGTGCCCTTTGTGTAGTGGCCAGTAGCTCTGGAACTGCCATTCGAAAGTGGAGACATAGTGTGAAAAAAGCTAAACAGGGGGAAATCTAACAATATTGACACTACTTCATTACAGAAACAAGCAATCTTGAAAGATATATAAGTACAATATTTATTTATATTTATTTTAAACATCCCATCTACCAAATTGTAGTACCAATTTATGTCTAATGAAATAAGTTGACTTTTTTTTTCACCAAAATTTAAGATGTTTTAGCAGCTGATGAGGTATACACTTTCCTTTCTTACATTTAGGCATGCTAATATGGGCAGTAGAAAGATACTTATAAATTTTTGCTTCCTTTCAAAAGTGGTCAATATGTATTTTCCTAAAGTTCCTGACTCTTCATTTAGACTCTTCCTTTATTTTTCAGAGCAGTGGAAATAAATCTCCCAGACTTAATACTATTCTGTGCTTGATTACCACAGGTATTGCAGTACAAAAGTTAGAAGGGAATGAAGAGTTGATAATCCTTAAACAACCAGCTTTTATAGAACAGATAAAGATTGTACTTCTGTAAGCATTCTAATTATTATTTTGCACAAAACAGATGCTAAATGAGGATTTAATTTTAATTTGGATTCTAAAAGAACAAAAGCAATTTCCTTTTTCCAAGTGATATAAAGAGAAAATTAACTTGTGAAAATTACCTATCAGCTTTTCTTTTTTAAAAAAAGAATTTTACTTGTTTGCACTTAATTCACAGATATAGTGAAACAACCTAATGACTTTTTTTTTTTTTTCAAAAGTGATTTTCCCTATAAACACGTCTTTAGTTTTGTAAGACTGCAGTCTCAGTGATGAGAGACAACAGTTAATTCTATGCCATGCATAAATTAGCCCTTTGTTCTGGTATGGAATGCTGTGCTGTAGCTGCACTTTTCTTTACTCTATGCAAAAGATTATAGTTTTTAGGTATTTAATATAGGTTATATTTAATGCTGCTTATGACCCCTTTTAGATTCTTCTATACAAAAGTCCTTTATGAGACCAGGTTTGAGTCTCCTTTGCCTACATAAACTTAGGAGGATTTACATTAAGCTTTTGCCTGTTTTCTTAAGAGTGTACAAGAGTGCAATGTAATTGCAGTTCCACAGAAAATGCAGGTTGGCCAAGGTCATACAGAGATTCTAAAGAAGAGGTTTGAGGAAAGCTTGGTGGAAGGGTGATGCTGTGCACACACATCACATCCAGGCATCCACACTGCATCAGAGAGTGCTGGTGGGCAACTTCAGTCCCACTTATCATGCTGGCCCTTTTGTGTCTGTATCACTTCTCTTACACATCTTCTCACTTTTGTAGGCAACAAATACTAAAGAAAAATACTTTTATTACTGATCTTGGTGTCCTTCACATTTTAGGAGGAATAAATGTTTAGTATCAGAAAGTGGGATTTTCCTAAGTTGAACATTACATACTTTTGGGTCTTGTCTCAGTATAGTTCAAAGAAAATTTTAACTTGAATCTTTATTTGGTCCTTTGTATCTTGAGGGGGTTTTCAGTTACTTCCTCGCTCTAGTGTTTTTCTAAAAGAGAATGCTGCGTTCTGTACACTTGATAGATGTTTCTTTCTAAATCACTAAAGGTGGTGGACATTTTCTTATTTTGATTTATTGATGTCTGGTCACATGTCTTTTCTTTTGCCAATAAGCATTTTGTCCAGAAGGATGCTGTGACAGTATCATAAGCTCTGCTGAAGTCCAGAAAGATTACATGTACAGGCTTTCCTAGATTGACTAGGTGGGCTACCCTGTAGTAGAAGGAAATCAGGTTTGACAACCAAGACTTACATTCATAAAGCCATGCTGGCTGGGACCAATGATTGAGTTGTCCTCCAGGTGTTTTTCATTATGTCACAGAAAAACCTTTTCCATGTACCTGGATATGAGGAGCTGTCTTTGTCCAAGTTTCTGTAGGTAAAACCTGTACCCCGAATCTGGCCGTGTTTATGGATATTAGAAGATTCCACTTAAGTGGTAGAATAGGTTCCTGCTTTGAGCTGTCCTCTGCTTTTCCTGAATGCTGAAGCTCAGCTACTGCTGACAAGGTCAGGAAACTGCTTTACTATCTCTTAAAAGCCTCACATAACAATAAAATTCCAGTTTGGCACCCTTTTTGCTTAATACTTGAAACTGAACTGGGATTGTTTTTCTGCTGCTTCACCATCACTGCTGTTGAGCAACAGCTTTCAGGGGAGGGAAGGAGAACAGACTTCATTTTTTTACTGCTTCACTTCATGTGTAATATGCATGTGTTTGAATTGCCACTTATAAAGGTGTGGTTCCAAAGCAGTTCAGATTGATGCAAACTTGGATTGTCAGCTAGCCCTGCTCTCTCCTCTTGGCTCAGTGCTTATGTGGTTATGCGATGAGCTACCCCTGGGAGCTGATCCAGTACATATCTTTTTAGTAAGGTTGTTGGAGAGGGCAAAACCAGAGTAGCCTAAACTTGATGACAGTATAAAAACATTAGGAAATAGAATTAGGTAATAGTTTAAATTACAGCATAAGAATGCTGCTTTGTCAGTACAGAATAAAGATTATGTGGAAGCTTACATTAAAAAACATCTTTAGTTTGGATGATTTCAATGAATCTTGTTTACACCTAGTAGAGAGGAACAGATTACTGAAGAAAGGATTGTTTTCTTGCCCTTAACACATACATGAATGTAGAAAATATGCTACATGGCCAGAAATCAACATCTAGGTAGAGTGGTTTGTAATTTTTTGTCTCAAGTTCTAGCAGAAACTTGCAATATATTTCTTGTGCCAAAACCCCCAGATGACTGGGGTTTTTTCTTTGTTAAACATACAGGGTTTCCTTATGGCTTCATCTGCTTATTTCCTCTTGCAGTTCTTAAACCTTGCTAAATATTTAAGTTGTTAAAATAATAATCTAAACTACATCCTATGTTGGAGGATGTATGTTTTGGAACATTGTTTTGATTTTGATCAATCTTTTATGGAACTGTTTAACTGGAATGAGAATGAAGGACTTGACTAAGGCTTCTCTATCCGTAAAGCATGACAAGGTGGTTTCTGTAATTGGTTTCTCTGGATGATGCTGGGAAGGAAAGACATTTAAGCTTTAAGTTCTTCAACCACCTCCATTTTAAAATTTTTTTTCCTTTCAAATATAGACTTAAAACCTAAATATTAGTTGCAAGCTTTAAAGGTAATGAAACTACAAAAATGTGGATACCATGAAATGCTGGGATCTTTAAACTGAAAATATTTCTTAAGATTTCTGTTAGGATGGTAAAACTTTTCTTCAAAGCTTAACAGTTTGAAAATCTGAAATGAAACTGGCTGAGCCTTCATTCTTTTAGACTCTCATCTTTTTTAGCTTTTTAATACAGCAAGTTTCTCAGGGTCAAAAGTTATTTTTCTGAGCTTTGAGTCAGAAATATATTGATGTTCATTGTAGTGTCCTGTTGTGATCTTTACTTTAAAGTTGGATAAATATACTATTCTAATAGAAACTCCTTCCTATGTAATATGATGGAATATTTTTGCATTGCAATTGCTTCGTTATAATGTTAAGTTTATCTTGAATTTCAACATATTCACTCAATGTTCTGATTTCAGTGGATCCTGAATAGAAAGAGTAATAACTAATTACTGGTTATTTTGCACAGAAACATAGGGATAAAAAGATTTAATTGTTACTGATGCATCATAAGTTTGGTTCCTATGTTCTTTACTATGCAAGACATTGTAATTGCTGGTAGTCTTCAGTGAGACTTTGCAGCCTTAAAGCCTTATGTACCTAACTCTTCTAGAGAAAGCTGATGGCTTTGTACTGTCACTGTGCAGCAGCCAATTTCTTTCAGGTTAAGTTGGTTGTTTTAAGTATGCTCTAAAAGCCCTTTAAATGAGGGTATTTAAATACATCTACACCAAGAATTTGACAAGCTCATTGTGTAGACAAGAGTGGTGTATATAATTAAAATGGATTCCTGGCATTTATCTAGCACCAGGCATGAAGTAACCTCAGCATAACAGCCTTGGTGACATTACTAGTTAACTGTGTAATTTTTATTCTGAAAACAGATTCCCAATTCCAAAATGTGGTCCAAGATGGTGCTTCCTGTAATTAATAATAACAAAATGGATCATACTTCCCTTGATCATAGTTTAAAATAAACAACTACTCCCATGGTATTTTCTCTTCCTTGAGCTCTTGTTTAAGAGCTGTTGGAAGGTTTATTTCTAGGGAGGCAGCCTCTTTAGAAGTTATTTCCTTGCTAACTAGCAGTAGTTACCCAGGAAGAGTCTGTTTTTTAGTTCTCTAACCATGACTGCCATGGTAGGCTCATCTGTGCATCGCCTCACAAGGGTAATAAAAACATTGTCTCTGTCACTGCATGGGTTCAGTGTTGGCACTGCTGACAGCAGATGTGGACACTGACTTCAGCAGGACATTGCAGCTACCAGCAGAATGGTTTTGGGGTCATAACTGCCTGTCCATCCAAAGAAAAGTTGTGGCTTTATGTTCCTGCAGATGCAGGTGACTTCAGGGGGGAACACACATAGAGTTCTATGGTGATAACTTCTGTATATCAGGATAAGTAATTTCTTATGTTGTGTGAATTACTGTTTGACAAAAAGGGGGTAAAAATACCCTCAGCATTAATTAAAGGATTTTTGCTATGTTCTATATATTGTTAAATATATGTTTAATTATATGTTTTGTAGAAGTTACTGGCTTTGTTATGTAGTAGTATATTTTTATAGACAATTCTTATATATTGAAATGTTAAGAATATTTTCATAAGAGATTTATATTTCTCATTGCTAATAAAATGATCCTGAAGAATTAATCTCTTGTTTTGCTTTGATTAGTGGAATATAACTGAATGCAGTCATTGTAAAACTTTATGAAAGAACTGTTAATCAAACAGCCCCTGGTAAACACCAATATAGACTTCAGATTCTGCTAATATTATCATGCTGCATCACTTTTTATGCCTTGCAACAAGCTAGTGACAAAATGAAGCTTCATCAACTTCCATACATTATTTTTCTTAACTGGAAACATTGTAGCATTGATAGATCAGTAAACTTTCCCATGTCCAAGTGGAAGTCTGTGAATTTTTTTGTTCTGTTTTGTTACTATATATCATGACTGGAATTCAACTCTTGTCCCACTTGTCACAAGGTGACATCCTTGTGCTTCCTATTATCTAGTGTGTTAATAATTAACTTTTCACCAAAGAGGAAAAAATTCATATTTGCTAAGTATTACAGAAAGATTGCTAATTTTGCTTATCCTTACAGCAATGCTGTTTCCTACAGTGTTGTCAGTTCTTGTAAGAGCAGAAGATAACAGAAATGGACTTCTCAAGCGCAAGCTTGAGAGCATTGAGAGAAGGTGACAGATCTTCTTTTTTCTGGGTATAATTTAGGGAAAAATAGATGAGGGACTACGAGTTACATGGTGGGGAATTACTGGCGGTGTTGGCCTGTCTGTATCCAGCATTCTCATCACTTTGTATGCTCAAAAATCAGCTCATTGTAGGAGAACTTGTCACTGCTTGCTTCACATGTTATACACTAAAGGAAAAGCAGGGTACTTCGAAGAGATCTGACTGTGCCAGGCATAGGCAAGGGAAGATTATTTGTGAAAGAAACTTTGCCACTTTCTCTAGGCAGTTCTGTGTGTTCTTTGGAACAGCTAATCTAATAGATAGAAATTTAAGCTTTGAGGGAAAGGGTGGGGGGGGAAAGAGCTTTTTGAATAGTATTAAAATCTTTATTTAGAAATAATTAGTGACATAGCATAAGAGACAAAGGCTGTTACTATAAAATAAAACTCTGGAAACAAAATTACAGAAGTATGTTATTCACCCACACACAAAAAAAACCCAACAAAGAACCAAAACAAAAAAAAACCAACAAAAACCCCACAAAAACACACAACAAAAAGAAAACACAACCAAAACCCAACAAATAAAACCCAAAAAAAACCAAACCAAAAAACCCAAAAAAACAAACAAAACTCAGAAGAAAAAGAGATCAAAGGATTTAAAGTTAAAAAGCATTCCCATTGTTAGAAAACAAACTTCACAGAAGTTGCAAGATACTTATGAACACTATACTTTATTGATTTGACAGTGCTCTTATAGTCCTGAGTATAGGAAGTAGTACATGAGATAACATGCAGATGAACTCTTCAAATAGGTTTCAGCTGATTGTCCTTCAATTAGCTTTTGTGGAACTGTATTTTCTGACACTACTGAATATAGTTCATACATTATCCTGTCAAGGAGCAATGAATTCTAGAAAGAGTAACAAACTGATTTGCCAGCTGAGTTTATATGCTGAGCAAAGGGAAAAAGAGATTTGAGTACTTGCAATGCTGGAATGAAGTGTTTTTGGGGTCTGTACGAAAGAGGTGGAAAGAAAACTCATGTTTTTCTAGCCAGCAAGTTCATTTTCCCTCTGTAGTGTGACTGCTCTGTCAGCAGGTGGGGCTGTCTTTCTTAATTTGTTCCTTAGGGCGTAAGATTAAATCGTTTCAAAAATCTAAATCCACAGATCTAGACATTAGAAGTTTCAGTACAATGATGTACTCAGTGCAAATATTAAGCAGGATTCCAAATGCTATTGAAGCATTGTATTGACTACACAGAATACTTCTCAGCAGCATTGAATAATTTCTTTAACTCTTAAACTCTTTTCTCTGATGTTTTAAACTGTATCCTGCACCTCCCCAGAGCAAAAGATTCTAGGTGGTGCTGGAGGACTTTGGCAAGGCTCTCTCTGCAATTCTAGGGAGCAAGACCCTCTCTCCTGAGGCTCTGCTATCTTGATGTGAACATCAATGAGCAGGTAGGGATCTTTTAATGAGATTGGACATCTTACCAATAATCATGGTATTGGGTATGATGCAGTCTAGGTATGTAGCATATGTCCTAAACATTTTTACTATTGTAAATAAATAAATTTAAAAGGGAGGGATAACAAGTACATCTTTACTGTACAAATTCTTTGTGGCAAGTTGTGGTGGGCTAAGATGAATTTAGGCTGCTGTTCTAATGTTCCACAGAAAAAGAGCACATATGCTGTCTGAGCAGTTGACTTTATTGCTCTCTTTCTCCTGTTTGGCTGGGGGACTTAAAAATATTTCTGTTCCCCTCTTAATTTTTATTTTGGGGCTGGGGTGAGACCCCTGCATAGTACTTGAGCAAGTTGTTGGTGCAGGTGCTGAGGCAGGGAGGCCTTACACATCATCTAGTACCTCATCCCCAGGCGCTACTACCAAATATTTCCAATGCCAGGGTTTCCCAGAAACTGCTGCTCTGGGCTGTGGACAGGAGCAGGTGTTCTGCAAGAGCCTCTTCAGGCAGAGCAGCTGATTAAATAAGGAAGTTGTACAAGCTTTTGAGCATAGATGCACCATACTGTGCCTAAAGCCTGGTAGACTGGGAAAGGTTGTACCAACTTAAATTAAGGGAGATAAATACTGGAACGGGAGGAGGTGTCATGGCTAAGTACCACAGAGAGCTAGAAAAGAATACTTGTCAACATGTTTTTCATCGGAAGGTTGGCTGGAGTATTTTTTGCTGGTGTTAACTGGCACTGTTAGGTGTTGTTCTACTTCATAGCAAGTACTGGACAGTTTTTGGGAAGCTTAGTAATGTTAGAGAAGAGAAAAACCTTTTTAATATTATTTGGAAAGGCTACGTGGCAAATCCATTTTATTTTATAAAAATACAGTGCACTGTGAATCAGATATTATTTACTTTCTTGTTTTCCAATTACTACTTTATTACATAAAACAAATATTCCTTTATAGTACCATAAAAATTGTTCAGTCACTATTGAGTTTTGATCAGGAAGCAAAGGAAAAAGCTGTTTGCTTTTAAAAAGTAAACCTGATTATATTGGGTTTTTTTCACTTTGCCAGAATTATTTCATGTCAATCCATGCTTTGTAAAAGATGTGTGTTGAATTTCTTCAATAAACATCATCTTTATGTTCTGTGAATCAGAGCCTATGTTCTGCTATTTGTAGTAATATATGTAGGGAGTCCATGTGAGAACACTTGGGTGATGTTCTTTTTTCTTGCCGTATGACAAAACATTTTTTTCATTATTAAAAATGGAGAGTGATAACAAAATACTACAATCTGAAATCTCTCATGGGAGAGCTGCAAGTTGCAAGACAGCCTTTTCTTCCCCAGAAGCCTCGTTTGCTTATGTGATTTATCTCCCTGTTCTGCTTTACCTGCCAGAACCATGTAGCTGTATTTCCTTTGCAGTTTGTTACTTAATTTGCAAAAAAAGGTGGCTAATTTCAATTTCTGATGTTATCAGCATAGCTATGTTGTTTTTTCAAGGAGGGAAGGAAAGTGTGAAATACACACATATACATGTATTAAGACAAGCTATAAACTTTACAGATTAACCATATTTTTTGCATCAAGAAGACTTGTAGATTTTAATTTCAATGTCTATCATAAATCATCTTGACACAGCTTTACAGAATGGTCTCTTGTATCTCTTATTTTCTTAGGAGGGGGAGGGAAGAGGGAAAAAAGGGAAAGGAAAAGTCTGGGGGAAAATCTTTGTTCTTTCACTGGCAAGTTCTCTGTAGCAAAGCTGTCCCACTGAAGCCTGTCTGTGTGATTGGGTACAGATTTAAGGAAGGGAAGGAACAGTTTGTTCTCTGCTGATTATATAAGAATACCCTTGACAGCATGTTGCTTGCTTCAGATTACAGCCCGTATCCCATTATTAGCATGGAAAAAAATAGGAAAACTAGAGTTATAACAACATTTCTATTTCTTTACTATGCCTTTTTTTAAACCTGGAAACTTTGGGCTTAAGGTGATGGACACTATTTTAGCCTGTAGCACTCTAGATGTCAGTTTTGATCAAGAAACTTAAATATTGTTTTCCTCAAGAAAAATATATTTTCCAGCTTGATTCTGCTCTTTTAAATTTTCTGGAGGATTCTGGTCTTTCCAAATTCTCTGATGCCCGCAGATATTTTTGTAGCATGTTTTTCTAATTTGCCTTTTGTCTCCTTAGATATTTAGAACTTAATTTCAGGACTGAAAGCATTTTTGCAGTCTGTACAGATCTTTTTTTTTGTGACAAGACAGATTTCCTCTTTCATATGCACATTTGGAAATATGTTCCAGGTGGGTAATTAATGAAAAAGCATTCCTGACATTTCATTTCTCCCATTTGAATGTTTTTAAAGCATTAGGAACTTCTAGACAGAAGCACGAAGGGTTACACTGCACTTTCAAAAATTGCAGCCTAGATTTTTTTCTCTGGAGCTTAATGGGTATGTTTAGGCCTCTATATTTTTATATAGATCATTACCATGCATACAACATACAATTTGCTGTAAAGAGCAGCAGCTACCTTCAGTTGTGCTTACTGTCATCTCTCAGGTGGAATCAATGTGAGCTATTATGGTTGTACTCTCAGGGGGACAGGAAGATTGGGTGTGCAGTAAGGGTGATCAGGAAAGGGAATACAGCACTACAGATCCATCAGGACACTGCAAAACTCTAATCCTGCATATGGTGAAGGTTAATGTGGTTTGAGGTCATCTTTGTGCCCTCAAATGCTGCCATCGATGATCTGTTCACTGGAAAGCCGATCACATTTACAATACACTGGCAACTGAGAAACTTGAAACCAGGAGATACCAACACTGAACTGTCTTCAGAAATCCTAGAAATCTGTTTTGGACAAAACAAATTTATGAAGATGTTTCCACACCAGCTCCATTTGATTCTTTAGCAGCAGTTTTGCTGTCACAATCTTCTTGGTAACATTTCTGCACATGATTTTAGGTCATTAGTTTAGAATTTGGTGGTGCTTATGTACAGTTTTATGATTTAATTTTTTCCTTTAAGTAGCAATTTTGCTTTTATGACTTTCATGATAATTTCAGGTATACTTTTATTTGTATGTTATCACGCTTTGAAGAATTTTTGACTAGATTGTCTGGGATTTTCAGTATTAAATGCTCATAACCACATGTATTTATTTTCTTAGCCTTAGAATATATATGACTCCAAGTTGTAATTAGTGACTCCATGTTGAACTGTACCA